GTGTATTAAAGGCAATCTAGTTTCGTGCAATTTTGTCCTATTGATGTATGCTCTATGATGTTTCTCGCGAAGCTGGTGAAAGCAGCACACAAACTGTAGTGTTTACCTTAATAAACGGGACCATAGACTAACGATGCCGTATATGGTACGACCATACCACATAAAGTTGGGAGAATATCCCGAATTGGTGGTTAGGCGCTTCTTATGGTTATTATTTATGCTGGTAGTGACTCAGCAAGCTGTTTGCAAGACCTAGAACTCCAAACAGCCGTACATACAGGCCATCGAGAAACACACTAAGAAAAAATGTTTACTTTTTGTTGGATACCAGGAAATTCGGGAATTGCGGACAACCAGTGATAGAAATACCCTATCACGAGAAGACTAAATCAATCATTCGAATCAGAATGGTGGCAAAGCAGAAACAGCGTTCTTCGATAAAATAAATATACAGGTTCACAGGCCTGGAAGGACATGAACTGTAGAGCTGATCAGCGAATACTTACCACAGGCAGACAGGGTCATCTGATAGAGAAGGAGAATTCAAAATGTGTAGCACATGCTACGAAAAGTTAACAAAGGAGCATATATGCATATATACAGGTTATATCGAGTTATACCAGTCACTTTTGACTTCCATCCTTAATATCTCGCTAATTACAATTGAATCATACACTTTAATATTACAAACAGATGGGAAATTATCTCATCTGTCCGATGGTGTTATTACTTTGCTTGTTTGAATGATCGTTCGCGAGAAATCGGTGATGGAAGTCGAAAGTAGCAGTTACGTTAATGCAGGAAGTACGAAGACTTGATGAAAAATCAAATATTATCACATCCTGTAGAACAAGTTCTGAGTTCTTGAGAACATCCAAATGAGTGAAGAAAAAGTGGTAAAATTCTTAAAATCAGTAAATCTGTATGATCAGATCGAATAAAGTTTTATGACACAAATGACCGCAAATGTTAAAACCTCGGCTGTCGACAGAAGCAAACCACTCTCAATGTGTGTCACGCGATCGTCTGTTTACTGGGTTGTTTTTTCCGTCGATCTTGTTTTCCGTGCTGAGCACCAATGCTACCGACGTGCCAGGAAGGCAGCTCCCACACCTGGACCCTACCTATCGACCCATCAACTCATGAACCGGGGACCAACGGCTTTACTTCCCATCCGAAGGAAGGCGTGATCAGAGATGTTATGCCTCAGAACATCCCGGCGGCGCCGACTGGGATTGAACCCAGGCCTGCTGGGGTGAGAGGTAATCACGCTTATCACTACACCACCGGCGTCGTTTGGTCCACCTCGTTGTTCTTCATCAGCAGTTCTTTCAGTCGATGCGTCGTCGACTTTGGAAAGCAACCGTTTCGTGATGAATGTGTGAGTGCTGACCACGTTTTGCGTCCATTGCTGCAATGGAAGCGCTCTGACCCCCGTTCGCGAATCTGTCATACAATGAAACCACTGGAAGTGACTCCCGTTCTGGTGGATGAGGCTTATTGGATAGCGGAAGATAAAATGTTTATTTGTTGTACCTTTTGACTATAGTTTTAAGATGTATTGTATAGTGAACAATAGGGTGTCCCAAAATTGCACTATGTCTGGAAATCTTGAGGCTCACCCTCCAAATGATAGCTAAGGGTGTTACAAACAAACTTTTGTAAGGCGGCAACTCTGGGAAATGTTGTTTAGAGGTCGCCCCAATGAGATTTTTGAAAAAAGTCCATTTTTCATAGCTATTTTCCAATAAATATTTTTAGTTCTTTAATTTTCGGTTAAATCTCACCCTTTTATATTTTACGAAGATTTCCAAGGATCAAAACAATAAGAGAAAAAATTGCTACGGCATGTTCTGCGTCAAAATTATTAGTTGCAATTTTTCAAATACTCTAAAATGATGTTTTTTGTTGTGCATCACTGCATTCAATCATCAAAAGTGGGTATCAAACATAGCGCTATTATCAATCGAATGCAGCAGATATATGGGAAATTTCATAAGCAAAAACTTTGCTCAAGACACTTTAACCTCATTTTTAATCGTTAAAAAGTTATTCGTGATTTACTGTGGATAGAAAAGTTCAGAATTTCAATACTTGCAGTATGTCCACCAGCAAATCAAACTATCATTGAAATCGATAAATACAAATCGCCTTCTTTGTTGCAAATCATTTCATAACATTTGTTTCGAAGTTTCTAGAATTCAATAGGAGGATATATGACCGGAGAGTGATCACCCAATTTATTAGTTTCCATTTGATTGCCGTAGCAAGCAGCACCAAAAAAGAAAATCATGTCACCAAAAACCAAGCTCAAGTCGGATCTCATCACCGGTATTGCGAGTAAGCATTTGCCCAGAAACCATTTGTCGTCGGAGTTGGACATCATCAGATACTTTCGATTCAAGCATGAAACCCAACAATTTTCAATCGGACCAAGCATTCAAGTTGGGGCTACTGCATTTGATTGATAATAGTGCTATATTTGATACCCACTTTTGATTATTGAATGCAGTGATGTACAACAAAAAACATAATTTTAGAGAATTTGAAAATTTGTAACTAACAAATTGGACACAGAACGTGCCGTAGCAATTTTTTCTCTTATAGTTTTGACCCTTGGGAATCTGCGAAAAATATAAAAGGGTGAGGTTTCACTGAAATTTAAAGAACTAAACATATTTATTGGATAATAGCTATGAAAATGGACTTTTTTCGAAAATATCATCGGGCGACCTCTAAACAACATACAACAGTTTGTTTGTAACACCCTTAGCTATCATTTGGAGGTTGAGCCCCCAGATTTCCAGACATAGTGCAATTTTGGGACACCCTAGTGAACAAGAATTATCGGCTCTGTAAAGTTAATTCGGTTGAGTCTTATCAAGTAAATTAATGAACAAAAAAAAATCTCAATAATGAATTTAAAAAATAAAAATATCGGGTACCTACGGATAGGTTAAACCTAACTTTTATCCAGAGAGCTTACTCACAATGCTCAATTAGTGCGTGGCAAGTCGGGCTTGCTGCCCTGGTCGTGTAGTGTCTAATTAGAGGAACGTAACGGCGAGCAAGTGTCTAGAAGGGTGTCCTGCCATGAGGCTGAAGGTCATTAGGCAGAATGGTTACTAGGATGGCCTAAAACTTCAATTTGTCAGGAAGCCTGGGGGTGTTCTCCAAATTACAGCTAAGCGTGTGACAATCAAACTTTTTTATGACGGCTAGTACTAGTACTTGACTTGACCAATAAATTGAAACTCCGTTCATAGTGACTATATGACTGTCACGCAGTACAAGTACTTGACTTGACCAATAAATTGTAACTCCGTTCATAGTGACTAGGTTTCAAAAATGAAGCTAGATGTTTATGCGGGAATATTATAAGTTAAGTTTTGGAAGCGTTTGGAGAAATCTTCCATTTTTATAAATAAGAAGAGACAATATCTAAACTTTTCTGTAGTCTGCTACAAATAACACGAAGACTTCTTCCTTTAGCCTGTATCATCAGCGAACAGAGCGAACATTCAACCCTGAGGCAAATCATGGAGGTCCGATGTGAAAATGTTATACAATATAGGTACAAGAATGCTACCCTAATATAAGTTTTCATATCTGACATTAATAATGATGGAATAATGGAAATAATGATTTGGCTCTATAAAGTTTATTTGGTTGCGCCTGTACAAATAAAGTAATTATATAAAAAAAAGCATTCAATTAATTTTGAGGTTCAAATCCGTAAGAGATAGGCAACGAGTTATGGTACGACGGGCTTTTCGTCAAAAACTTTATCGAACAAGAATAAAAACTAAACTTTAAGTATTTATGCCTACCACCGTGAACTTGTCTGAATGGAACTCTAACGCATATTTACGCTTTTCATGTGATTGGCTCATGAAGTGTAGCGTAAACAATATCTGCAGCTTCCTCCCATCGTATACTTCAAAGCTAGTACGTAAAATAAATGTAATCACAAGTGTGTATCCACACCTCTTATATGCTATTGATTGAGCAATCATGGCAAGCGAAGGACGGTTACTGGTCAACGGTCTATTTTCAGTCTGTAGTTTAGATACTGACATGGGCATGATGTTGGAAGCTGAACTGTTGGTTTTTATCGTCCTAAAGTTTTCTATCTATTTCGAACTAACTGTTTCATAGTATGGAAACAGTTTCCGGAATACACTAGTCACTAATAATAATTAAATTTTCACTGCCTGGAATTTGTGGATTGTATCAGGGACACACTACGTATCGTTAATTTAAAATTACGTGTATTTTATGCATTAGAGCAATTTTATAAATGTTCAGAGCTCTTCAAAGTGCTAACATTTTTTTAAATATCGATTAGTAGTTTCAATGTTTCAAAGATCTTATTTTTAAATTAAAAGTTTAAGTTTCACTTGAAAACCATTTTCGAAAGTTTAATATAGTGGTACAAAGTTAAATTCAATTTTATCTAATGCTAAATTAGAGATGATAAAAAAGTATCATTAAAAACTTCTCTACGTTGCTTCGTTATACTGAACACACCAAAAACTTCTCAATTTTTATTGTGATATAAACATTCATTCAAGTAAACTTGTATTTCATTTCACGCAAAGGAGCAATATTGTTTACAAAGATTTACAACTGTTCATGAAATGTCTCAAAATTTTACACGATTTATAATGTATACTTATATGACGCTCAATTTATGTGCATCATATTAAATAGAAATTTACACTACTTTTTTGAACTGTGTAGGCAAAAACCAATTTAAACACAATATCGTCTAAAGTTGTTATTGCAATGCTACCAAACAAGCAAACATAAAACGCTTGAAACAACAGCCGCTTGCTACATTAAACTCCCACCGCTTCGATGTCCAGAAAGTATGTCCTTACTCCACCTCCCCAATGCAAATGTTTCAATAATCCATTCAACCATTCACAGCATGTTTGCGCCATTCAACCGAATAAATAATATTTTTTTATTTTTCTCATTCTCCTACTTTTTTTCAGTGATCGATTGCATCGTCAGTGAGTGGGGACCGTGGAGTGAATGTGACACCGCCTGCGGAACCGGTATGATGTCACGGACCAGGATAATTGATCAGAAACCGCAAAACGGTGGCAAGCACTGTCCATCACTGGTGCAAAAACGGGGCTGCCAAGGACTCAAATGTCACAACCATCACGATCGGAAGGTGCTAAGAGGTGAGTGTGGTGTTGGGAACAGGAACTGGGGACATACAGATTTATTCCGGACGCACCATTGTCTTTTTTGTGGGCCAAAACACGCATTTTTGGTACGACGGGAGAAATTAAATTTAACACCCCGGTACACTGCCCATAAAAGCATAACAGCCACATCTTTGCTTGATTTTCTACTCAAATTGGACTGTTATGCGAAAATGGGTTGTACATGATGTGTACGAGAATGTTTTTCCCAAATTTAGCAACCGCATTGATGATTCGATAAACTTCCGTCCGGGACATAATTTTAACGATTGTTTTTTTTTGCCAGCCAGATTCTGTTGTTGTTCACTTGATAATGAGCACAAGCAATCTACGACACACTTAAAAACGAAATAATTTTTAAGGTTACTCTTGGTAAAATACACTCTACGAAAAAGTCATGTAAATTTCGTTACCCTGAGACCGACACATTCAAGCAGCCCTTATGACATAAGAATAAGTTGCAAGAGACGAGATAATCAGTTCAATCAAACGCACTTTTTGTCGAGTTGCGTATGTTTTGGTTTCGGTACACTTAATTTTACATAACAAGTTTGTTTACGTTCCATGATACGTCAAATATGAATTTAGTCACGTGTGAAAATAGTAATTTTTGAGAGTGTACATATTAATCCATACCTTGGATGTGTATGATCAAATTATGCTTGCAATAATTCGCTACCCAGGATGGTGAAACCATGGGGTTGTATCCTAGATACAACTGCAGTTTAATTTACGACTATGCAAAGCTGGTAAAACATTTTTACCAGACAATTATTGAATATTTTAATAATTTTCTAATATTTCAAATATTTCCTATCGAACCCTTCAGCAATCTGTTAGAATACATTTTTGCAGCTTTGTCTCTTCAAAAGTGCATGTCAGGCATAATGGCCGTGAGTTGCTTCACAGCAAAAAAATAATTTTGATATCACATCAAAGTGGATGCACTACAATCATGTCGAAAATTTCATGTAATTTTTATGCCCACATAAATAAACAAATGCAGTAAAAGCAGCGTAATGTCAGTTCATGCATTGTATTAATGATAATTTTGTCCTTTTTAGCAAGTAATATTACACCATATTTTCGACATGATTGTAGTGCATCCACTTTGACGTGATATCAAAATTATTTTTTTGCTGTTTTCTTAATGTCGCGGTCTCAGATGTTTTCGGAAAGGTTTATAACACTTAAACACTATTTCTCAATTTTCGACCGGGCACAGTTTTAAATTCCGGTGTCCCCGAATGTGTTCCAAGAAGCTCGAAATGTTCTCACACAGATCATTGCAAAAAAAAACACCGCATTTTCACTTTCCATATAATGTTTCTCGACATTTACGCTCAACACGCACCAATGATAATGACTGCCGCGATACTTTTCAGATAACGCCAAGCGCAGCACGATGATGCTGTTTTACGTTGAATGCATGTAAATATATAGTTTGTGTAACTTAAAAGTTAATGAATAATTAATAATTAACTGCAACAGTATAATTAAATGATAAGGTATGGAGTTTAAGTTATTAGAAATAAGATTATTATTTACGTTTATGTAAAGGCAACATTTTATCAGATTCAGCATAACGTGAATATTTACAGATTACGTCATCTTCAATTTTCAAATATTTTTACTTTGTAGGTAAAATAATCGAATAAAATTAGATTATACAGTGATTGCTATCGTACGTCGCATAAAAAACCAAATACAAAATTGGGTGTCTAACGGAACTTTCACCACTATACTTTCATCTTCTCGTCTATCGTATAAAATGTGCACTTTATGTCTGATGTTTGACGTAAATGGGCCGTTTACACTTATGCCAGTTCACTAGCTCAGCCAGCACAACCAACTAACACGAATTTCAGTTGTTCCGGAAATCTCATGCTGGTAATTGCTGACGCCCTGCTTACATTATACTGGCTACTTTTTAGCACAGTGCAAATACACTAGCGCTAGCAAAAAAGCACCACATGTAATCACCACATAAGTATCTCCAACTTTGTAATCGGTAACTTCACGCATGAAGTAATAAAAACATGATAAGTTAAAGTACATAACTCTAGATGGGAGCTTACCACCATAAAAATTACATGAGATTTTCGACATGATTGAAGTGCATCCTCCTGGAAGTAATATTTAAATTTATATTTTGCTGTGTAGGAATAACACTTCTTTCAAAAACGGAAAACAAAATCTGCATGGCAGGAGAGCACGATACTAAGTGATGGTTAAATGAAAATCATTGACATTTTCCAAAGCAACATCTCTATTGGATATCCAATTTACTTTAAAAATATTCATCCATGGAAATTTCGTGTAGTTTTGGTTCATTGTATTTTGATTCTGTGAAGCTCGCGTTAATGATCATGATTGGCTGTAAGAAGCTGATCATAAACTACAGTTTTGAAATATTTTAGACTCCTCTTCCCTTGCGTACCCAATCCTTTATACTTTTTTAGTGAAAAAATGAGCAATAAATATGAATATCATTCAAGTGAAGGAGCGTGATAAAAAAAAAGGAATGTTAAAAATGCATAATCCTTTTCTTTACCCAAGAACCGAGCACGATGCCTCGGAAATCAACATAAAAATGTAAGACATGGCATGGGAGAAAGGAATGTTGATGATTCATAAACCTGTTCTGATTGTTATGAGAAGATTGTAGATTATAAAATGAATAACTGGGACCTTGTGGGAGCTATGAATGACGAATGGATAAAAATAGGTACACTGAAAAGAAAAGGATGAATGATGATTCTTCCGATGGTGGCTGGCATAGCACGCATGCCGCCATCATTATAGTCGGTTTATCCGAATAAGGCTCATAAGCAAATTCCGGTGTGGCTCTCGGTATTTATTTAAAAGTGCAAAATAAATAAACATTGCATTCGTCATTTCAAGGATGTTGAGCAGATATTTGTAAGCGATTTGAGATTTCTCACTTCTTCATTCAACAATCTTCGTGTCAATCAAACTATGTTATTTGATGCTGGAGAAAACATTTTGAAAATTTGAAAATTCAAATTAAAGTTATTTACACATTTTAATACTTATGGCCTAAACACCTAAACTAGCTCGGAAAAATCTACAACAGCCGATTACCTCGGCATTTACTTTTGCTGATATCTCTGCAAAATATCTGTTTGTTAGCTGATATCTCAGGAAGATGTTATTTGTTAGCTGAGTCTCGGCAATTGTTTGACTGAATCTCAGCAAAATAAATTGCAGAACTGCTCGGCTGTTGGAATCTCGACGAAAAAATTTAAGTGTGTACTACTAAAGTTCGCTAGGCTGGATAAGAAAAGATCCTTTAAGATTGGTTTATATAATAGTTAACTTTAATAGGATAGGTCGATGTTATAGTGTTAATAGTTCAATTTAATGTTTTTTTTTATAATTTCTGCTCATCTTTTCTATCGCCAATGACCAATTTATTGAAATGTTTTGAGGACACACTGCATGAGTTTTAACTTAATTATATTCATTCAACATCTTCATCCTCAGAGAAATTGACAATTGTCTAAGGGACAACTGCACGTTGAGAAAACTTGCAGATGATGGCGTAGTGTCTATGACAGGACCCAGAGAGGCCAACCTGCAAGGACCCTTACAGGATACCTTAGACAATTTGTCTACTTGGGCTATCCAGCTAGGTATCGAATTCTCCACGGAGAAAACTGAGTTGGTCGTTTTTTCTAGGAAGCATAGCCCAGCACAACCGAAGCTTCAACTTTTGGGTAAGCCGATCACTCATTCCATGTCTTTCAAATATCTTGGGGTCTGGTTCGATTCCAAATGCACCTGGAGATCCCACATTGAGTATCTGAAGCGGAAATGCCAACAAAGGATCAATTTTCTCCGAACAATTACCGGAACGTGGTGGGGAGCCCATCCGCAAGATCTTCTAACGTTGTACCGGACAACGATTTTATCGGTTTTAGAGTACGGTTTTTTTTTTTTTTTTTTTTTTTTTTAACTCTTTATTTGTTCCAAATTCAAAATAAATTACATTTCATTTTAACCTAGGTGCTCCAGTTACTGCAGTAACGTACCAGCCTTAATTGTTATGATATATATCTAAGTGTTTTTACATTGTTCATGTCTTGGCAATTCAGTATTTTAAACAGGTTTTTTAACCTGCATGTCAGTATAACAATTGATATCTTAAAACTAAAAACTAAAACTAAATCTTATCTAAGTATAAAGGGAATTAATCGTTGCAATTGAGGATTGCAACGATTTTTGCCTGAAATTATTCATTATTTTGTTGGACATTTGTGCTAAAGTCTCAACATTCGAAATTCTATGTACTTCGGTTGTACTGTACCAGGGAGGCAACTTCAAAATCATTTTCAGAATTTTGTTCTGAATCCTTTGAAGTGCTTTTTTCCTGGTAGTGCAGCAACTAGACCATATTGGTACAGCGTAAAGCATGGCCGGTCTAAAAACTTGTTTAAATATTAGAAGTTTATTCGTCAGGCAAAGTTTGGATTTCCTGTTTATAAGAGGATACAAACATTTTATATATTTGTTACATTTGGCTTGAATGCCCTCAATGTGATCTTTAAAAGTTAATTTTTGGTCAAGTATTAATCCAAGATATTTCACTTGGTTTGACCAGGAAATTGGAACTCCGTTCATAGTGACTATGTGACTACTACTAGGTTTCAAAAACGAAGCTCTAGGCTTATGTGGAAATATTATAAGTTGAGTTTTGGAAGCGTTGGGAGAAATCTTCCATTTTTGTAAATAAGAAGAGAAAATATCTAAACTTTTCTGAAGTCTGCTGCAAATAACACGAAGACTTCTTCCTTTAGCGGAAATGCCTGTGTCATCAGCGAACAAAGATTTGTGGCAACCCTGAGGCAAATCAGGGAGGTCCGAAGTGAAAATGTTATACAATATAGGCCCAAGAATGCTACCCTGAGGAACTCCTGCCCTAACAGGTAGTCGATTAGATTTGGAATTTTGAT